TGTAAGTCAACACATATGCAGTGCACATAATTCAAAGGGACTTGAATGAAAAAGGGAATATGCAAAGATAATTAAACAAGTTTACCCCATTTTATTTAGATTCCTCTGCCTAATATTACAGCTTAAAGAGCAGTTTCACAGGTAGTCTAATAGGAACAACTCAGTCCAAGACCTGATTTACAACATAAAATTTTAACGCATTCTAATTAATTTCTCTATGAAACAAGATGTTTCTGAGCAGTGAAAATCTTGCTAAGCTCAGACTGTGACCAAAGAAGCAGTAGCTCTGTAAAAGGATAGCTGCAGGTGCAGTATGTGTGGCTGTTTGTAAGTCTCCAATTTAAACAAATTTACTTGGTGTATCTTGCATGCTGCTACTTTAAACCTCAGATTTCTCACATTGGCCTAACATGTTCCTACTTTCTTTAGAATAAATATTTTCAGTGAGCCACGTTCAGCTCCAATTTATGGCACCAGAAATCCCACTTGTTTACATATGATATTTTTTCCGCAGTTTTCAAGCTCACATGCACATGGCAAAGTCGACACAAGGTTGCCCCCACAAAATTGTGCTGCATTCCCACTCCTGCTAAGTATTTCCAGCAGCATGTCAATCTAACTTCAGCTACTGAAGTGTTTGCTTTTCATACATTCTTCTATTTCTTCATACATCTTAAGGTGTAAAAATGAAGTGCTTAGAGGATCTTAAATAAATATCAACTCCCATGTTATTACAGGCCATTCTCCAGAGCAGGCACCCCCCCCCCCCCCCCAGTGTTCTCTAGGATCATAGAACAGGTTGGGCTGGAAGGGGCCTTTAAAGACTATCTAGTCCAACCCTCCTGCAGTGAACAGGAACATCTGCAACTAGACCAGGCTGCTCAGAGCCCCGTACAGCCTCACCTTGGATGTTTCCAGGGATAAGACATCTTCCATGTTTCCTGGCAACTCCTGCCAGTGTTTCACCACCCTTACTGTAAAATTTTCTTCCTTATATCTAGTTTAAATCTACATTCTTTTAGTTCAAAACCATTACCCCTTCTCCTATCACAATTTGGATCTCAATTAGAGAGCACAAGAGAGAAGCAATTTATTCATCCTGCAGCGTATGCCTAGGACAGGAATAGGTACCTTTGGCTTCTGTTTCAGAAACGTGACGATACACAGCTTCAACACCTACAATTCAAAAGAAAAGCAAGCAGGGATGTACACAGCACACAGTGAACTCTTACTGGAGAACAGGTGCTGCTTATCCTATGGAAAATCTTCATCTCCTGTGTAGCATGAGCTGAAAAATAATGACAGGAACCCAGGAAGCCATTTTAATTGAACTAAAGAAGTATTGTTTTTTTTTGTTGTTGTTGTTTATGATCTGGGAGACACTAGTGTCAGTCATGCACTAGAAGTGTTCAGTGATCCAAACTGCAGTATTTTTGGAGTACTAATGTGACCTCAGCACTTTTCCAGTGACAGGCTTCCAACTGTGCTGTACAAAATCTGTCTGAAGTTCATTTCAGGAATACCATGGCTTGTGAAGAAGGATGGGAAACAGGATGGAAACAGGGCCTTCAATTAGGGTTATCCAGGGCCATGTGAAGCTAAAGCTTGAGTATTTTCTTTGGTAGAGTCCAGCAGTTCTGAGCAACCTCTTCCAAAATCTGGCCCTTCCTACGGCAAAGAATATTCTTCTGATATCCAGACAGAATTTCCTATGAAGCAACTTGTGCCCATTGCCTCTTGTCCTGTCTAAACACAAATGACATCCATGAACAGGGTGTCTCCTGTCCTCTCTAACTACCTTTGAAGTGCTGGGAGACTCTGGTCAGATCTCTTAGATCTCCCTAATCCACCTTTTCCCCAAGCTGGAAAAACCCATTTCCCTCAAATTTTCTTCATATGTCAAGTCTTTCAAGCTCTCATTGGTGGCCCTCCAATGGACCATCTCCAATTCTTCCAGAGTCTGTGGGACAAGAACTGGACAAAAGTGCCAAGAAGAGTGGAATAAACACATCCCGTAACCTGCTGGGTGCAGAGAGGTAGAAGAGAGGCATCACTGCACTTACTAGGGTCTCTCAAAGGTAAGAGGATTTTATCATGACTTCAAGTTGTTAGGGGTTTTTTGGGGTGTTCTTTTTTATTTATTTAAACCACAATGGCCCTGCTATTTCAGGCTTTTCTCCCAGAAACAGTGCATGCAGCAGCTCTTGGCTAGCTCAGCATTTCTGCACCACATTAGTTATTACTCCTACATGCCCAAAAATCTCAGTAGCAACACAAAATGAATGCAAAACAGTAGTTAGGGCTTCAACACAATTTGAACTTGAGGAAAAAAAGATTGCCTCCCTTTTTAAGTGGAATGGATGCTTATGTTCTTACAGTACTGTTGAAGACTGTGCTCACGGCAGGGGGTTACCAGGAGAGGAGAGCACCTATTCAGACAACTGTTCCCATCCACCTGCACTGCCACTGAAAGATAAAACTGTGGTTTTCAGTATTCCTTGGTTACTTTCATTGAAAGGAGCTGGGTTTTGCTCAGTAGCTATTGAGTACATTCCTCAGATTCTTTTCTTCCGTGCTTTGTAAGTCAGGATTGGAAGTCACTGCTGAAAGCACAGGAAGTTAAAAATCGCCTTTTTCAGCCTCCTGTCACCTCAGGGTACTTCTGTGGTAAACTGACCCAGGCTAGAAAAATGGCACAGCTTTTATAGCCCCATCACAAAACAATTTACAAAATAATGAATTACTGCACTTACCCTATCCTCAGCTGGCACTGCTGAGTTTTTAACTAGCCATGCCCATTCACAGGAGCACAAGTTGTGCCCCTGGTAATAAGAGCCCAGCTGTCATAGAGGCCAAGTGCTCCTCTCGTACTCAGTAGAAGCATGTGGTTTAAAAAAACAGCATGGTGCATCTTACCCACTGAAATTAAACAAAGGTTTTCCATTGGCTTTAAAGGGAGGAGGGTTTAGGAATACATTTTCAACACTCACTTCCCTACACAGAACATTAATTAAGCCTCCCAGGGGAATTTAAAATTCAAATCTGGGCAGCCAGGACACAACTTTGTCCCGCACTGATTCAGTGTAAAATCCCAGATGATTAAAATGTTTTACAGCGATTGTGATCCACATGAAAAACATTTTAAAGTATTTGCCCTATATTAAATATTTAACCATACTGAAAATGAAAAATAGTTAAAATGCTTACATGTAAATTCTATAAGAGATTAAAGCCTATTTAGAGCCAGTTGCCCCCATAGTATATGGGGCAACATGCTGGTCACCACCTGTGATTCAATCCCTGCCTCAAGTGCAACGGGTTGACTTCAGGCAGCACCTCAGTAACATCCAAAGTCACAGGAAAAAGCCACCCTCCAGTGCTTGCTGTAAACCAACTGTCTGTACAAACTCACATTTCAGAAGCCTATAACAGAGAAAGAGGGCCCCAAATGTTACATATAAAAAGTCAACTACCAAACGACAAGGCACCAACCTTTGTATCAGGTGAAGGACCATGGGGCAGGACTGGTTCCAAGAGAAGACAATGTTAAACTAGGTCAGGAAACAGAAAGCAGGATTCCTCCTGCCTCCTCTCGGGTCACGCACCATCCTCCCAGAGCTTTCCAAGCTGAGGTAGCCATTTCACTTTATAGCCTGCAACATATAGCTTTTTCCTCTCCAGTTTTGTTTCCAACTACATATTTTTGTAGGACTTCTGCCCTCACCTATATAAATACTGGCTTTAATTATACTAGTGAATATTTGCTTCTGAATTTCTCGTAGCTACTTAAAAAAACAAACCTAAAAAGGTGAAAATCCAGAAAACTTTATTTTTGCATTCATTTAAAGGTATTCATTTCAAAATTAGATGGAAGTGTTTGAGTTTTTTCAAAGCAAGTTTTTAACCAGAAAGTCACAAGAAATTATGAGAGCACTGCTAAAGGTCAGCACGCTATAACTGAATTCCACCCTGTTAAATTACTGCTATATTATGCTTCCAAGAAAATCTGTATTCAACATCTGTTTTCTTTACAGGAGATCATTAGGAACAGACAGGCCGAGTCATAGCCTCATTCTGCACTTACCTCAGGATTTGAAAGGACAAATCTGTCTTTCCCTATACAGAGGACTAGATTAAAACATGGCCTTGTTGGACTTGTTCACCACTGTGATGTTTTCAAGTTCCTTTGGAGTCAGACGTTACCCAAAAATCAGTATTAACAAGGAAAACAGGAAGGCAGGCTGGAGACGAGCTGGCTCTGCTTCTCGTCATTTACACTTGCTGCCCTTCTGGCTAATTTTTTATCAAGTCAGAACAGATTTCTCTCTATGACATAGTTGGCAAAAAGCTTCCCCCAAAAATCAGTGGCTGACAGGAATCAGTATGGATCCCAACATCCTGCTACATCTGATGAGGTCAAACCCAGCAACAGACCTGAACACATGCACATTGCAAAGAGCTCCGTTCGCAATTAAAGTTAAGGAAAACAACTGTTATTCTCTAGCATGTGCTAAAACAAGTGTTTTCCAACACTGTTGTTTTGTTTTTTTTATGAGCTAAACATACAAAATATGGAGACATCTGGATATTTCAATATCAGTATGGCTATGGATACAATCGTCACAGCAAATCAGTGGCCAGCTCTGCAGAAAGATGGGCCTCTTAGGGCGCAATATGAAACAACTGGACCAGAAGCTTCACATGTTTCTCCCACCACTGCTGTCACTTCCATCTTCCTCCTGTTCCTCCTCTCTCACCATTTTTATCCCTCTTTCTAATCCTGACACATATGCAAGGCAAAGACTAAGTGGAAAATGGGATCTTATGGCTAGGGTGAACATTTTGAAACTGTTAACTGGGTTGTCATTACCCTCATATTTGATGCCACAGAAAAGTGTTTTCACAAACCAAACCCCAGAGCTTATAGAAAACAAGGGAAAAAATGAGCATGAGTGTGCCTGGAGCAACAAAGTGCTTGCAAATTTGGGGAAACACCCTACCTGTGTTTTACTGTACCTCCAGATGCTCTTCCATCCCAGACTCGAGAAAGCAGCCCCCATCATAGGAGCCTGGCCAACAAGCTGTGGAGACACGGACTCAAATATCTTGTTTTAAAGACTGATGAAATTACACAATGCAATAAAGATAAAAACAAAAAAAGACTATCCAAACATATCATCATGGCCATCCAAAGTGCAACACTGCTTTTTTGTCGAACAGTTTTCCAAAGACCATGTTGATTGTTTCCCTTATCCTTTGTACATCATGAACATCACGTTGCTACAAAAAAGATAATTTTAAAATGAAAGTTCAACTGGAGGCTAATTATAGGGAAAAGTTAAGCTTACTGTGTGATTTTTTTAATGGCTTATTTTGCCTTTGAGTTATTTGTGACCTTGAAAAAGATCTCTATACCTCAGTTTACCCACTCGCAGGATATTTCCTTAACCCTGCCAATGGCTATATAGTTTATATCCAATAATGTTTTTGTGATACTGACCAGTGCAGTCGAACTATTGACACTTTAAACTCACATCATTGACCCTGCAGTGCTCAGGAAAGAAAAAAAGAAAATGGTAAAGAATTGAGGTAGCATGGAAGGGAACGGGTAGACTATAAGAAAACTGGTACAGCTTCATTTGACAAATGAGGGTGAGGATACAAAGCAGAACTCAGGAAAGAACAGGGAGGATAAGGAAAGAAGAAAGATATATGAAATGGTGCTTCAAAGACCGGTGAGATAAAGGGTTACCCACAAATGCACATGCCCATCAGGATGGGTATTGGTTTATATTTTTCAGTGACAGGGATTGTCCAAAATTGAAAGAGCAGAGCCTGCAAACTCAGCTACAACTGCTCTATTTCATTAAGCAGCTGCTAAATGAGAGATCATTCTACCCAAAGGTGACTGCAGTTTTCACACTGCACACACTGACTGGATGTAAAACAGCCTTCCCAAGGGCCTGGAACTCCCTATTAAATTTGCATTGTTTCGTATTATTATCTTGCTTTGTTTCTTCCTAGAGTGGAAAAGAGAGTTCAACCACCTCCTCCTAAATAGAACTAACATTTTCAATAAACTAAATGCAAAAAAGGTGATACCATTTCACTATTGCTTCCAGGCAAAAAGACAAGTCAGATGTCACATTATGAGGCTTTAAATGTAAGTGCCACCCTTCTTTCTCTCCTATAGCTCTTTTTAATCTAAATTATGAGGTTGTTTGCAGTAACAGATCTCAAACAGAGAATAAGGCAAACTAAAGACATAAGCTTTAGATTTTGACTTTTAAAAGTCTGGACAAGACACAGTGGCACAATAGTATACAGAAACAAGGACTTTCAGAAGTAAATAAGCACAAGGGCCCTGGGAAGGAACAGTCAAACCTCTCATATGCTGGCAGGCTCCTTACTCAAATCCTGTGTCAGCAATAAGCTATTGACATTGCACTGACCATAAAAGCTTCTTCTGAAGGGAGCATTGACATATTTGGGCAGATTGCTAACAGAGAAGTGTTTGCAGTATCAATAGCAAAAGCAAAGCTTTAGCGAGCAGAAAGCTTGACCCATCCTTTGGTCCCTTTGAGGCAGAGCTGAAGCAGGTTGGGAAGGCAGAATGCAGTAGCACACTGTTACACCTGTTGTTTGAAAAAAGCTAAGTGTAATGCCATTGAAAGGACCTAACTTCCTTCATATTATGGTAGAGAAGTTGAAATACATGACCTTTGAAGAGAAATCCATCTGGAGACTTGTTATTCTCACAGAGATGAAACAATTACAAGGAATCACCTTTTCCTTTATCCCTCAAGGAAGTTTCAAGCTTAGTTAACAACATCAGTTATTTCTATAGCAACAGACAGGTATAAACACAGGATTATAACCTTCAACAAGGGATCAAGAAAAGGAAGAAATAGGACTTGAAGAAAGAAATGCCTGGAAAAGCTGCAAAAAATGCAGAAAGTTACTAATTTTCTTAAAATGCGTATTTCTTCTTGCTCCTTGCAGGACTCCTACAGCATTGTACGTTTTCAGCAAGACTTTCATTTCAAAGGAGGAAAAAGACAGAGGACTGTATATTATTTCTTGCTGCAGGTATAATGGAGTCAATCAAATAGTTGGGATGGCTAACACAGGACAGGGTGTGATGGGGTGCTTTACAGCTCACAATTTACACTGTAAAGCATGTGCTTTTATTCTACAAATGTTGCTAGAGAGATGGGATTTCAAGCACATATGTACAAGTGAATTATAATTCCCACATACACTTAACATATACTAAATGGAGATAAGCAGGTAATTCTGGTGTTGTCAAACAAAAACTGATGTTTGAGGGAAAGCACAGACGATACCTTTTAAAGTGAGCCAAATAACTATTCCTTTTCATCCACAGAGCCATTTGCACCACCCCCAAACGTGATCAAGCTCTACTAACACAACAGCAGCAAATCCTTTGCTGCTTGTCCCAGTGAAATCACTGCACGAAGCACCACACAGCACTGAACTGAGCCCTATATAAAAAGTAGGTGTTTCATCTCCCTTTTTAAGTTCCACTTTCACTGTCAGTATCAGCCAGCCTCTTTTGGCAGGAGGAACCAATTGCACAGCTGCCCAAGAGGGTGCCCAAGGGCTCATCTCCATCACAGCTTGGCCAGGGAACATGCCAAAGCCATTTCAGGAGAGCTAACCCCAGCCCCAGCAGCAGAGTATGTGTGGCAGCCCAAGTCACACACACAGGGCCAGGACTCAGTTGCTGCTCAGGCAGATTCATTTTGAGCTGGTCTGGGTGTGTCTGCAGGAGCTGCAGTTACTCCTTTCGATTGCCCTGCAGCAGCCATTTCCCAGGAACATCTGTCTCCTTGGGTCACAGCCAAAGGAGGAAAAGTTTCTTTGGTGGTGACTTTTTTTTAATCACCACCCTCACTTACCCCAGACACATGCTTCTACATGAGAGAGAAAGTAAGAAAGGGAAAGCCCAGCCTTTGCAGAGACTAGCAACAGGTCTGAGGCAAGACCCAATTAGCAAAAGGATCTGACATAAGGCAGGTGCGTGGGAAGCTCCCTGCAAATGAAATACAAGCCAGGCCATAAAGAAATCTTTGAGTCCTCATAGTTAATCCATACTGAGAGAGTTAGGGTCATTCATCCTGGGCCATAAGCAATGAGGTCGGGAAAAGCATTCATTTCTAGAGATAGGAATGAGGAGATGCACAGCCAACTGAAGAGCAATGCAAGAACATCCGCTGCAGGGCAGAGGTCTGACCCTATCACCAGACAGTTTGTCAGGAAGCCAATAACAATGATAGCAATGAAATAATTGGGTAATATTGCCTAGCATTAGAAGTGAAAGGAAAAAACATTAAGTATCTTCTGAAGCTTAAAGTAAGTATTTACTTTCAAAGCAGAGAAGGATTGAAAGCAGCACATAGTGCAGACAGGCCTAAAGGCAGGAAGTCTTTTAATCCTTCAGCACCTTTTGCCAAGAGAGATGCTATGCTTCATTATTCACTGGTAATATCTCAGGCCCTGGAGCACCTTTTTGCTTTTAAAAAGCCCCAGTGGAAGTTCTTCTTTTGCTGTCCAGGCACAAAAGTTGCCTTTTGAAAGTCAAGTGCAAAAGCCCTGTGCAATCTCACCCATAAGTCACCTGCTGATGCAGTGACACCAAATAGTCAGGCAGAGCAGACCAACAGAGCCCAGAGTCATCACTAAGTTAACAATGACAATTCCTTGCATGCCTGGAATTACTCTCATCACTTATAAACTATAAAAACTAAACTACTGCTTTCCACATAAATAATTCACCCAGGGACTGATTTACTGTACAACTGTCAATGTATTTACAGTGCTCACATGCTTCCCCTGTTGAAACAATTTCAGTTGCCAATAAGGAAGGACATAAGAAAGGATGACTATTTTCCAAAGTGGAAGCTGTCATAGCATTTAACCTTTTCTCTACTCTTCCACTGACATGCACCCCACCCCACTGCTGGTTCCCACACCCCAGATATGAAATCAGATAAGGAGGTCCCCTGCTCCCTGCTTCCTGATGGTGAGTCACTGCTCTGAGTCAGCCTTTGTGTTCTAAGGAACCTGGAAGGCTTTGAAACCCACTGTTGATTTTGGCAAAGCCACCTCTTCTTGCTTTGAGTGTAAAACAATTTACACACATCATTTTTGGTCTGAAAATAGCCACTGAAATGAAAACAGCAAGAGAATGACCAAAGATTTCCTTGTACTGGAGTCACTGCACAGCACCAGCAGAACCTCCCTGTCTTGGGGCACAGTTGCAGTGAAATGACTGAGCCACAAAATACTTAGGTTCTGAGGATTCAGGCAGGATGTATTCACAGCTCCTGACTATTTTATGCATGAAAGCTACTACTGTTTATGACTTTGGATACAGCCACCTCTAAAGCAACTGGTCACCTCTTCAGCGATAACCAAGAAAGGTGTCTTCACCTGCTAGGTCACTGTTCCTATATAGTCAGTTCCAGTCCTGACATCGGTAAGCAAAGCCAGACCACTCTTTTCAGATGTTTCAGCTTAGCACAAGGAGATCCAGACAGGAGAAGTGTCTTGATAAACAAGAGTTGTCTCCATCTCCGTTGAGACATGCCAGTAACAAGGGAAACTGGCAAATCCACCTCTCAAGAATCCATGTCTGTCTCTGCCTAGTCCTTCTCTGTCTCCACAGATCAGCACTTTGTATATATAGAGAAAAAAAAATCTTGTCATTCTTGGCAGAGAAAAACTCTCATATTTTTAACATGTTTAAACATTACATCAGCTGCTCATCTCAGACATTCATCTGCATCATCCACTTCTGTGCTTACTTCTGTATCTGCTTCATGAAACCTTTAATTAAATTAATTATGCTTTAATATGTATATTTTAATTTCCTTTTGCAATCATATTTCAGGCATCCTTTGATCTCATATTGCAATTCCAAACTATACTCCTTCCCTCCACGTCTGTTTGGTAAACACCTTTGCTTGGGCCAGATTCATTAGCATTTTAATTATTTTCTCACTCCAGGACTTCTCTGCCATCCCTTCTTCTCACAGTCTGGCAAATTAGGCAGTTT